CGTAGGCTAGGGTTTGCAGATTCCCCCAGTGTGTATTGTGGAGCAGAAAGCGGCAGAACAAAAATGGCGAGAGCTCGTGGCCCGACAGAAAAAAGGCGTGAACGTTTTCGTCCATATCGTCCCGATACTGAACGCAGCCAAAGAGATGATTTTGCTGCTCGGGGATTCGGAAGACGAGAACCTCCTAGTACTCGTCCGATGATCCTCGAGGAGGGATGGGCTGAGCGTATTCAGGCCTTATTTCATAGTATTGGGGTTTGTTATATTTTACTTTCTTGTATCTATATTCATTCAAAGATTTTGTTTCTTTCGTACAAGTGAAGTTGTATGTTTTTTTCTTACAGCAAGAGTGCCCGGCTAATCTTACTAGGGAGGATCTTATGAAGGCTTTTCGTACTAGGCCGACTCCAAGGTATCTAATTCGTTCCTTCTCCAACTTAATTTGCTATGGATGGTCGTTTTAGCTATGGATGGTTGTTTTAGCTCATTTTCTGGATTGTTGTTTTTCACCTGAGCCAGCTATTATGCTGAGAAATACGGACACGCAAGTTCCAAGACACAAGTTCCAATCAAGTTGAAAGACAAACAACTTCCAACCAAGTTCAAAGCCACCACCACCACAGATGATGCGATGAAGCACAAAGCCACCACCTCCACAGATGATGCGATGAAGCACAAAGCCACCACCTCCACAGATGATGCGACTCCGTCCGACTAAGATGCTCGTGATTAAGCACAAAGCCACCAATATCGAGAAACCCCACATACACGTGCGATTTATGTATGCATTCAATCATTCGTCAACATTCAACAAGAGAGTATAGTAAGTTTTGAAAGAAAACAAAAAAAAAACAAGAGAGTATAGTTTATAGTATTTGTGCGAATGAAAGAGGTGAAGTGTGGGGGCCACGCGCCATTTAGGTGGAAGTCTCTCCACTTTCATGTTTACTTTTTGAGGGGAAGTCAAAATCCATACCTACGCCTGAAAACTAAAGTGTTCGTGGTTGGGATGATTGTTGTTAGGGTTGGCAAATTCTATATATATACCATAATAATTTTCGTGCATCTAATATCTCTCATACAAATTCAATGATGATAGTCTTTTTTTTTTCTTTCTATGATATAGATATAGTATATATGATGATCAATTCTAGATATCCGAATTTTTCTAATCCGATTTAAGAATTCGCTTAGATTCTTCTAAAATTTAATAAGTCTATATATTGTGTCATATATGTATAGTAATAGGTATAGATAATGTGGGGGTATACGACAGTATTATAGTGTATCCCTAAACCTAGATGATGGATAATGATAACCAGTCATTGATATTTCGCATATACATTTGACTAATCTAAAAGCTTCAATGAATCTGTTTTTCTATATAAAATATTTGTTTTTTCCAATGAAAATACTATATACATGAACTTAATATGCAAAGATTGATACGTAGAATATGTTTGGTTGCAATACAACTCAGAAGCGCGTACTGATTGTTGTTCTTGTTCTCCGTCCCCACCGTCATCACCGACATGTCCTTCTACCCGCAGCAAATTTTCGGTTTCCAAATTTTTCTTTTCAAATATCATAATAACCATTCTTTTTCGTTTGTATTAAGCATACAGTAATTATATACCCGCTTCCTATAATTCAATTTATGTATACATGATTCGATTAAATGCACCAAAATTTGGAAATTCGAAAGAAAAAGAAAAAAATCAAACGAGGAAGGACTGAATTCTTGATTACAAGAAATTGGGGCATAATATATATATAAAAACATTATAAATACGTGGACCAATTTGCTATTCAAGAAAATCAAGTTTCTTGAGCTTCTGCATTTGAGCAACAAATATTTTCTCTTGTTGTTGTTGTTTTTCACCTGAGCCAGCTATTATGCTGAGAAATTCCAAGCAAGTTCCAAGACACAAGTTCCAAGAAAGTTCAAAGATGATGCCATGTGCAAAAAAGTTACCTTTTTTTTAACTGTATCGATGCAGATTTTGTCTCAAAGTTGGCTGGATTGATCTGTATGTGTCAAAGCTTGAACCTTTTAAATTGTATCAATGTAGATGTCAGATATTTTGGAGAATTCAGGGATTAACTTGAAGTTACTCATAGATGAAGCGAAGAACAAGGTTGTATTCGCTGAGGTGGGTAAAGATTTCGTCGATATTCTCTTTAGTTGTCGACATTGCCAATGGGAACAATCGCTAGATTGCAATCAGGATAAATGTCAAAAGATTAAGCTGAAGCTAGACGATTCATCTTAATCTGTTTTTAGATTTGGTTACCAATAGACGCATCACCGTTGTGAATTTGCTTGGAAATGCGTTTGGTTCATTACTACTCTGTTATGTGTGATTTTGAGGAAATGGATTATCTTCTATTGAGATTGTGATCAATGTTTCTAAATATCTTAACTTGTGCTTTTTTTTTTTTATTTAAATGCTTTAGGGTTCATTACTCTGTTCTGTGTTTTTGCATGTGTTGAATCGGATATTGATGTAATGAGCCAGATTTAGATCCGGATCCGAGTCCATCGACCCAAGACGGGTCGGTCATATGAGGCTTTTTGACCATTCTGGAGAGTACCGCTTGTCTGACAACTCCATGTGTATGATTGGGATGAACTAAATCGATAGATCCAAAATCCCAAGGTGGATTTGTGAAGAGACTAGGATAAGGTTCATGGTGATAGATGGCCTAATAATTACTCCTGAATGTTAAAAGATAAACAGACCCAATTGCGAGTAATCCATTGATCCCTATACATCCATATGCAGCTTACCAGATTATTGGGAGCTTCATTAATTGGTGACATCATCTGCCTTAAGAACGTTCATTATTCTTGTGTAATTGAAATAAACATACACTATTCCTTATTATATACAAAACAACTACTAAACCAAGAACAAACCAAACATAAACCATATGTATACTCTCTAATAAGCACTGGTCTCTTGGATAATGGAATCAGCTTCAACAAGTGTTCCTCAAAGATAAATCTTTTGATACCATTAACATCTACATTTTTTTTTCCAATCTACTTTTGTCTACTCTTTTGATTTTAGGGTCTTTTTAATAAATAACCAAAAAAAAAAATTTAAAAAATTGGAAAAAATGGGGGTATGTGGCACAATCTAGGCTTTTGGATTTTGGTTTTTTGGTTAGTTTGTAAATTATAATTTTTTATTGTATTAATGGCAAATTTTCCCTTGATTTTAACTACTTTCTTTTTTTTCGTGATAATCTTATGTCAATATCTTTAAGCAAAGGCGCTAAGATTAGTG